TATGGCAAGATTATGCCATTTTGTGTGCATGTATACATCTATAAATACACGTGTGTTTTTTTTTTTGTATGTGCGTGTGTATGTGTACTTCCGAATCTGTGCGTGTGTGTATATGGCTGTACACGTGCGTTTATATGCGCCTGTGTATACATTTTTATGTACATGTGTGCGTGCGCATGTATGCATGCATCTGATGTGTGAACACATGTCTGTGTGTGTGTGCATATGTATATTTATGTACTCACGTACATCTATGCATATGCGAGCACGTGTACGTCCATGTCTGTGCGTGTAATTCATGCGTGTACAGACCCGATTTGCGTTTATTTGCCTGACATATGAGTATGTGATGCTTTTATATACGCACTTGTGCGCACGCACGTGTTTGTGTGTTTGCACTTACGTGGGGGAAGATGTATGCGTATGGGTGTGTGTGTATGAAGACAAGTGTTTTAATGAGGATATATATACTGTGCACATGTACGTTTGTGCATATGTTTGGACATTTATGGATGCTATCATGTCAGTGCTTTGAAGAACGTTTCTAAACCAGTTTCCATTAAACATAAAAACGACGACTTGGCACTGGTTTCTTTCCTGGTACAAATGCAAATCGTTCTGATCCTCCTGACCTAGTCACCAAAGGCCGCTGAAAACGTGTGGATGAAATGGTTGCGCTCATCAAAAGAGGAAAGCTTCATCGTATAGAGTCCTCTACAGCAGGCCTTTTTCATATTTTTCTTCCAAAGCCTACGAGCCCGAAGAAATAATGAGAGAGTATAGGGAATAGCTAGATTTCCAGAAAATCTGTTAACTGTTGTGCAGTGCCTTGTGATTGCTACGAACCTGAGCGATCCATCCCGACCTGCAAGCATTTTTTGAAACGGCAAGCGCGACATTTTTGGCCACCCAAACATCCTGAAAACAAGTTGCTCATGAGCCCTCTACACGCTTCATTCTATTATAGTATTCAAATCGAGTGCCGCTATTATGTTCCGCTTGAGCCAGCTTTGTCCTGCTCAATTTAGCTGTGACTTTCCGATAAAGAGCCTTCCACAGCAAAGGAACGGATATGAGCAAACATTTGTTTGTTCATCACAGTATGTCTGTGCGTTAGTATAAGCTAACAAACTTTTTCACTTCGCCCTAATGGTTTTTTGAATATATGATTGATTTAAAATGGTAAACTCTGGCATTTTTGACCCGCTTCGTTCCAGATTTACAATATCAGCTTGAAATTGAACGTGGGTGAACAGGTCAGAAAAAATGGGAATTTGAGAGCTGTTCCAAGGCAGAACTGTACTAGAGCTGTTTATCCTGCAAGTAAATTAGAAGGAAGCAAAGGCTCTCATCTGTGTTGTTCGTCCATCTATACACGAATGATAATTTGGGCCGAAGGGCTTCTGCGAATCACAGCGACAGTGCTTCGTTTCTGCAAGCACTGGCTCCTGCAGTTGGTTTGTGTTCGTGTTTTGAGCGGTTTCTTAAATGCATCTTTCTAAAGCACTGTTCACCAGAGTGCCAGAAGCTTACCTTTGCTTACACTGCATTCTCCCGATTTGGCGCATTCATAGTTTTTACGCAAAACAACGGTACGGCGGAAGAACGCGGAACACGCTGCGCATGCTTCCACTCCGAAATGAATCCCAGTCGATTCGGCACCACAGATGCTGCACAATGGCACGGGCATTCTAGGGCCACTTTCTTTTTCAGATACCGTTACTACTGACAATGCTTCTGTAAAATACAATGTCCTTATACTTGTGAAGATAACGGTATGCAAAATATCATTTTAATTTCAATGGAAAATTCATAAACACTTCACCAAACGGATAGGCTAGAGAAACAAGAGAATTCCAAACAACTCTTTCAGAGGAAGAAAAAAATTCGTTTTGAAACGAGCGAACCATGAAGAGGGGAACGAATGAAAAGGCAGCGCCAAAATGAGGTGCAAAAAACTGCATTTATTTTGCGCCTCTCTTACTGTATCGCTGGGGAAATCACTCAGAAACATGCAAAATTTTATTAAAGGAATACACGAGCTAGGTTATTAAATGACCAGCGTGGGTAGGCCTTTTTATGCTTCCTTAATAAAAGCATCTGTCCGTGCAGACCGTTTGTTGCGTGTTGCTGTTCATTTGAATGACATTTGTGGACGTGTTTCTTCAAAAAACCCAGGCTGGAATGCACCAGGCGAGCCGGAGCGATCATGCGTTTTTGCACAAAACTTGAATTA